AAATGGAATATGTCCAACTGTCCAGTCCAGTTTGTTCTAGTTTTTGAAACTGGACATAGTCCAGTGCCCAACACTGACTGGAACGCAGTATCTTTATTAGTTTTCATAATACCTATATTGATATAGAAATTGGATTTTACTTAGATCACTTAATTGATTCGCCAAAACCATGTTTCAACCTTTCAATTCATTTCAAAGCTCGATTTACTGCAGGCGAATAATCACCATCGCCGGAATTTAAAGAACTATATCAGGAACCTTATTTGTCTCGCCGTTGACCATATTTGTTGATGCTAAGGCATTTTTATCTCTTTTATATGCTATCATGGCTCTTAATTCATTGATTGTAATTCCACCAAGATTATAAATAGTTGAAATCAATCGACCGTTTAGGTTTCCACGGTCCAAGCAACCAAAGAGTTGCCCATACGAAGAATACTTTTGATTGTAAGGTAAGTATCACTCATAGTGGCTTCAAGTTCCATATCTACTTTTTTTTCTTTATTTTCGGTACACATCCCGGTCAAATTATTGGACCATTAAAATTATCGCAATTTTTAAATTTAATAGCCAACTTTAATTTTTTAATTATAAAAAATTTAAATAGGTAATTTTACATAAATATTTTTTTATTTTATTCATAAAAACAAATTTTTTATAAAAATAATTAGTATTTAGTTGGATAAACATGCTATCTATTACAGCTTAAACCCTTCTCGACACACTTTATACTAAATTTTCTAAAATGTCTGTTCAATTTCATTCCATTTTTTCCTTAAAACAACCATTAATTCTTCAAGAATTTTTGGATATAGAGTATGTTTATAAACCTTTTTGTTCAAAACATTCTATAGATATTCAATTATATTTGAGTCAGGTGGTTATGTAGACTATAAAAATATTTGAGATTGAATTACCATATTTTCTATATCATTATGTCTTATTTTTCTGATTTTACAGTGGGAATTAAATAAATTATATCATACTTTTCATGAAGAACAACACTAAATACAATGATAAGCATCATTTTGAAACAATAAAAAATGAGATAGAATAGATAGGAATATCTATAATATTTCATTTCCTATAAATACCTTTTCAGAAGCTAATTATTTCATCTTGTTTAAATTCAATTAGCATTAAAAAAAATATATATATATATTTTTTAATACCAAAAATTTAAGAACTTATTGAATTTAAATGAGGTAAAATAATTGGTTTTTAGAAAGGTATTCACAGTGAACAAAATATTGAAAATATTCTTGTCCATTTTATCTCATTTTTTATTATTTCAAAATAATGTTCATCATTGTATTTAGTAACATACATATAAAAAATATGATGTAAATTGTTTAATTTTATAATAAAATTAGAAAAATAAGATATAATAATATAGAGGTATTTTATAAAAATAAGATTAGATTTTTAATTCAAGTTTCAAATAAATTATAAGTTTTTTATATATATTAAAATTCAAAAAATAATCTTTTGCTTTTTATTAATGAGTTGAGAACTAAAATAAAGTATATTTATTAAGATATAATACATTAGTTCATTGGGTAAAGCAATTAAGCAATAGATAAAAATTTTAGCAATTCAGTTTTAAATATTTTATGATCTATCTGTATAACTATCTGACTTAAATCTAATAAAATATCTATAGAATGTAAAGGTTTTAAATATATTTTATATCCAAAATTCTTAGAGAATTAATAGTTATTTTAAAGGAAAAATAAAATAAAATTGAAATAAATATTTTAGAAATTTAGTATAAAATGTATCGAAAAGAGTTTAAATTATAATAAATAGCAAACTAAATATTAATTTTTTTATAAAAAATTTGTTTTTATAAATAAATAAAAAATTTTTGTATAAAATTACTTATAAATTCTATATAGAATTAATTAGTATTGAATTAATATTAAATTAGTAATAATTATTTATTGAATTAATACTTATAATTTAAAATTGAAACTACAAAAATTAAAAATTTTATGTAAGATTTGAATTTGCGAAAATTGAAAATTCATATATAATTTGAAATTAAGAGAATTATATCATTTTATTAAAATTTAAAGTTATTGATTTTTTCATAAAATTAGGTAATTATTTGCAAAATTTATTTATGCTGATATATTTTAAAGTTAAGTAAATATTTACAAAAAAATAGAAACTTAATTTATGTTAATATGTAACAATATAATTTTAGATAAAGAATAATTTATCAGATTTATTTTCTACTTGTAAAACTTTTATTTACAAATTTATTAAAATGTCAAATACTATTAAATAGTTAGAAGCTGAAATATAATATTTAATAATTTGAAAAAAGAAAGAAATGTAGATTACTAAAAAGATTCAGCAAGTCAAAGATATTTATTTAAAATAAATTTATAATACAACTTGAAGATATAAAAATAGTTTTTACTAGTACTTAATGTACAGATAAATTTGAGAGACTATGAGAGATTGCAAAATAAGTAAAATATTAGTAAAAGAAAGAATAATGTGTTTATATTAATATATTTACAAAAATATATAATTTGATATTTAGTTATTTAAAAAGTATATTTAAGAAAAGCAAAATAGAAGATAGATTTATATAGAAGAAGTTTTAGTAAACAATTTGAGTCATATTCTAAAATAAATTCAGTTAGTATAGTAAAACTTTTTTAATTAAAATTAAAAGTCATTAAAATTTAATACTGTTGATATTATTAGGCATCTCATATAGATGAAAGAAGGTAAATAAGTTTAGCTTAAAGTTAAGATAAAAAATTTATTTAGATTTAAAAACTTAAATTTAATTATCTATATTTTATTTTTAAGAATCTTCAATTTTTAATTTACCTATTATTAATAATGAAAATTTATTTTAAAAAAATTATTTACAAAAGTCATTAGATTTAATTTTATTTAGATTATATTAAGGAAGATATTATATCATTAAAATTGATCAACATACTGCATTAAAAAATCAGATTTATTCATCTGATTTGTAAAATTTACCTGATTCACTTGATTTATTTGATAGCTTATTTTATTAAATTTTTTTTATATTTATTATTTTATTATAATTATTATTTTATTATTTCTTTTATTTTTATCATCGTTATAATTTATCTTGTATTTTATATCTTTATTTTATTATCTTTTATTATTATTTTATAGCTGAAGTTATTAAAATAATTAGTTTATAACGTAATAAAATAGTTAGTCATATCAAATTAATTTTGTATAATAAAATAGCTTTTTGTTTAAATTGTAAATTAACTCAGTTTTAAATTTATAAATTCTTTTATGAGTTTTAAGTTATTAATAAAGAAATCAATTAAATCTATAAAAATTACTTTTTTTAACATTATCCCTTATTTAAGATTTGTTATAATATTTTACATTAATTTATTATTGAATCTATCTTTATAAGTTTAATTAAATATATCTTAAATTCTAAGACATAATAAATTACTGAGTTAATTTAAATATAAAAGATACTATAGGATTTAAAAAAAATCTTAAGTTGAAAACTTCAACATTTAGAATTAATTATCATAGTTTTTCAATTTAGATATTAAGATAACTGAAAATAAACCTAATGATACTGTCACTCTTAATTATCTACTAACTCAAACTAATTCAAATTTTTTGAAATATGACTTATTTTACAACCTCTATAATTACTATTATTTTCTTTTTTTCATTCTTATTTTTTCTAAATATTATCTTTCTTTTTGTCTTTTTTTTATCTACTTCATTATCTTTGCCTGTTTTTTTTCATTTTAATTCAGTTTTTTTTATAAATTTTTTTTTGAAATTTGTTAAAAAAAAATCTGAACAAAGTTTATTATCTTTATATAGTATTTAAAATTAATAGTTATAGAATAATCTATATTTGATTATGAGCAAGCATATATTACATGCCTTAATCATATGATCAGTTCAATATATTAAAATTTTTTTATTAAAATTTTTTATATATTATATAAAGTTTTATATAATATTCAATATATCAAAAAATTTTAAATATTATGAACTTAGTTCTTAAAAAAATATTTAAGAAGTCAAGAGTTTATTATATTATAAGTTCATTATATCAAAATCAGAATATATATAGTTGTAAATTTAAATTTTATATAATAATTTATTAATATAAAATAATTTATTAAGAAACTTATCACGTAATATTTAAATATATTTATAATGAAAGATTTTAATAAGACTAGTTTTACTCTTCTCCTTCTAAAATTTTATTAGTTTAGTATTAGTAAAAAATTATATATATAGTATATATTTTTATGTTTTGATATTTGTCTGCTCAAATTTTCAGG